GCATGCCTCCAAAAGTTGGCCAAAAATAAGCTCTCTTTTTTTTCTTTTTTCTTTTTTTTCTCTTTCTTTCTTTTCCTCCTCCTCCGTGACACCTCCTGGCTTGCTGCTACTATTGCTTCTACTTCATCATTATTATCTGTAAGATGAGGTGGTGGTGGTAATGGTGCGGTATCGTCGAGTAGTGATAGGTATACAACTACATATAAAAATCAAAAACCAAATGAGTTGGTGAGCATGTTAGGATGCCTTCGTTTCCAATCAAGTATCATCCATTGCATCTCCACTGCCAAGAATAATGTTGCAATAGCTGTAAGAAAAAACAAAAAACAAAAAAGAGAGGGAGAGAGACAAAGAAAGAGAGAAATTTTATTTTTGGCCAACTTTCGGAGCTCTGGCAGCATGCAAAAAGAAGTGAAACAAGGCATATGAGGGGTGTAATAAAAACTAGGCCATGAGTTGAATCTAACAATGTGAAAATGAGACGAAAAGGAATTATGATGAGGGAGATACAAGTGCTTGAATATGTGGATTTGAATCTGAAAATTTTGCCCAAAAGAGAGAAAAATCTTATTTTTGACCAATTTTCGGAGCTCCAACAGCAAGTAAAAAGATGTGAAGTAAGGCGTATGGACAGTGAAATAAAAATAAGGGCATGAGCTAAATCCAACGACACAAAAATGAAGCGAAACGGAGTTACGACCAGAGAGATACAAGTGTTTGAACATGTGGGTTTGAAGACTTTTTGTCTTTTTTCAATTATGCCAAACTTGGCCTTAGTCAACTTTCAGAGCTCCGACGACAAGTAAAAAGATGTGGAATAAGGCTTATGAAGAGTGGAATGAAAACTAGGTTATGGGGTGAATCCAACGACGCAAAAATGAGGCGAAACGGAGTTACGATGAGGGAGATACAAGTGTTTGAACATATGAGTTTGAATCTTAAATTCTACCCAAATTTCCGTTAGTTTAATATGATGGAAATAGACGAAGGGGCTAGATTGGAACATAGATGAAACTTTAGGGTTTAATTTGTCGAAATTGAAATTATGGGATTTAAATTGAAAAACACGCGAAACCCTAGATTTTTTTTTTTATATGTATAATTAACCCTATATTTATTCACCAATTTAATAAATAAAGGAGTTAAGTTGTTCATACTTAGGCACAGACTAAGACTATTCTTTAATGATTAAGTCATGACAAAGTTGAGATAAATGTTGAGTCAATTAGATTATGTCACTTTTAGTATTTAGTACAACTATAAATCCTCAAGGCAACTCTTATTTTTTTTGTATTCGTGAATTATGACATAGGAGAAACTATAATTTTATGTTTAAAAAATTAAAAAGCCAACAACTTATACTAAAAAGTCAAAGATTTTCTTTTTTTTTACTTTTTGCACATCTTTTCGTAAAAAGCCAAAAAGCCATCCCAAATATACCAGTTTTCTTTACCTCATATTGTAGCCAAAAAAGTTACTAAAATATCATGTTTCCAAACGAGGCCTAAATAGACATTTTTTAACTTCTACAGAATAGACAATGGATAGTTAATAAATTAACAAAAATAATTTATTATGATTGGGCTATTTTTGATATAAAATAAACTAAAGTGCAAAATTTATGAGATAAAATGCATTTATATTTCATTGTAAATATAATTTTTGCAATTTTATTGCAATTTTTTTAAAAATATATTCCACCATAGTTTATTTATTTCTTATAAATAAATTTTATGTTATTATTTAATTTCAAAATTAATTTTTAATTATTTATTTAAACCCGTGCATAGCACAAGTATTAGGGTTTATAAAATAATTTAAAAGAATTATACCTGTATTATGAAAATTCGTTAAACAAAAGTGAGTGAGAGTGAAGAATAAGAAAAAGGTTCAATGTGAGATGCCAAAACTAACGATTGTGAGAAAATCTAAAAGTTGTAATTGGTTGATAAAATTTGATTTCAGAAAAGATAAAATGATAAAAGTCACTGGTAATTCATTGTTTGTCATTTTCATTTTGTTATTCAATTTTTTTATTTAAACAAATTTTGCTAGATTGAGTTTCACAAAAAATTATTATTATTATTATTACCATTATATGGCATACTAAAAAAAATGTAATTAGTAAAAAATAATAATAATTATTATTGAGTTTCACGTAGTTTACGATATCACCTAATATATGGCAAACTAAAATTATAAAACCCTTAGAAAATAATAATGTATTTATATTTTATCATAAGTGTAGATTTTGTTTATAAAAATAAAAATAAAAAAGTGCAATTTTATAATTTATCATAATTTTTATTTAATTTTTACTAATTACATTATGATTTATTTTATTGTTATTTAGAACTTAAAACATAGCATTAATGGTTTTTTTTTGGGGAGGGGGGGAATCATAAGCGAAATTGTGATAAAAATAATTAAAATTTAATTAATTTTATTTATTACTGTTTAATTTTAATTTTAAAATTACGAGGTCTTTTTTAGGGTATTTGGTATTAAGATTTTATAGCATAAACAATATCTAATATTTTCATAATGTCTAAGGTCCCTCACACATCGATCCAGAAAAATTTCAATCTAGAGAATTTCTCTGGACTTTCCAGAAAAATTCTCATCAAATTTCTCTGGACTTCCCATTCTTTGGTTTGCACAAATTTCTCTGGCAAATGATATGCTTCCACCACCATAATAATCTCAGTAGTGGTCTCCAAATTGAAATTACTTTAGTTTGCACAAATTTTACTACTTCGCAAATTTCTCTGACAAATGATATGCTTCCACCACCATAATAATCTCAATAGTGATCTCCAAATTGAAATTTCTTTAATTTGCACAAATTTCTCTAGTTTACAAATTTCTCTAGCAAATGACATGCTTCCACCACCATAATAATCCCAATAGTGGTCTCTGTAATCAAAGGAACACTAATTTCATCCAGAAAATCTTCCATGTAGTCTACAAAATCTCCTTCTTTGCCTCTCAAATTTGCAATCAAATGGTTCGACACCACACCCGAAGATTGAGAGTATTGAGTACCCCTCGGATCACCCAACGCCATCGAAAAAAACCCTAACCCTACCAAACCTTAGTTACGAAACTGTCGATCACTTGTGAATTTTCCAAAGAAGAGATGAAGAATCGAGCTTATATATATATATATATATATTCTAGAGCATGTGTGTATTTGTGGAAGGACAAAGGACCAGCAGAGGCAACGATAACAACAGCACAAGTGAGGCTTTTGATGAGGTTTTTGTTGGCGGAGGTGACGATCTATACACGATTGGTGAAATCGTCCATGGATAAAGATGCTTTGAGCTTCGCTTAACAGAGGAAAGAGAGTTAGAGAAGACAACAACGATGATGACGATGAACTCTAGCGATGGAAGTGGAGTTTGTCGAAGAGAGAAGAATAGAGAGAGAGGAAGCGATGGAGAGGCAGTTTGATTTGAGGGGATCCAATTTCTTTGTGATATACGAATGTCAAGGGTTGAGTAACCTTATACATCATAAAATAAAATAATATTATGAATCTCTTCCATTATTAAAAATGAGAGAGATACCTTAAACTAATTTTTCCTAAAATTAATTATTAATTATTTATTTAAAACCTTATATAACACGCGTATTACGCTAGTATTTTGGGAGCAAAAGACAGGATTGTGTTAGGAAAAAAGAAAAAAAGAAAAAAGAAAAAAAAGTACGAAGGATCAAACATCTTATTCATTCAGTTTTTGTGTTTAGTAGAATTAAAAAAGAAAAAGGAGAAAATGAGTCGGCACTTTATTTGTAAATCTTTTTGTTTAATCCTAAAAATATGAAAAACACTTTTTTTTTCATGGGATTTAGCTTTTAATAGGTGGACTAGTTGTTTCATTGTTTTTAAAATGAAGGATTTTATAACTTGATGAAAATATTATAAATTATATAGTCCACAATAAGGTGGAGTTATTAACAGTTCACAAATAAAAAATGTTTTTTTTTTTTTCCATCATAAATTTAAGATACAAATAAGATTAAAATTTTTGAAAAGCAGAAAAGTACTCTCCCGTTAATTTTCAAACAGCAGAAGGAGAATCCATTACTTTTCAAACCAAGTTGTAGCACGCTGAATAGAATATGAAACTCCTTTCCAGACAAACCTTGCATTTATTTTGACAATTCACGTTTTTTGTATTAATGGTTGCATTAGGAATAGTGGAGGTGCTGATGGTAGTGTTTGTTGGCATTAGTAAAAGTCTAATCCAAAAAATATTTTTCATCCTTTAAAAATGGAAAATGTTTTTTTAGTTAACTTTGATTTTCCAGTACTAAACATAAAAAAAAAAAATATACACAAATACAAAAAAAACATTTCCACCAAAACAAATAGTGTAAAGATAGCAATTTTGACTTTAATGAACACCAACTATGTGATTCAAGCTCTCTTTAGGTTACTACTAAAAAAATAACTTTTTTTATACTATTTGAGCAAAAAAATAAAAATGCATGTTCAACAAGTGCTGCTTTAAGTGACAACAAAATAAAATAAAATAAGTTACTTTTTTTTTTTTTTTTAATAAGATCCATCCTTTCTTAAAAATGCTACAAAAGTCAATACTTTTTCAAAAAAATTATTTTTTTGTAAATTTTATTTAAATTTTCATTTCCTAGTCTAGATTCAATGTTTGAAAAACTAAAATAAAAAAAATTCCACGTTAACCTTAAAACAAAACAAAGAAACAAAACCCAGATCTGTTTGGGATTTAATCCAGGAAGCCCCCAATGGTGAAACATAGATATTTGTAGTTTGATCCGTATGGATCTGGTTTCATTCTGATGAACTGAAAAACATGGGTTAGGTCAAAGTTATCCTAACTCTTATACCATGACTTGGCTCTCATCGTATTCTGTGATAGATGAAAATCACTGAACCGCGGAACAACAGTTCATTCGATCGGGTTTGTTCGAGAGCATCATGATTATAAACTGAAATTGTTGGCATCATGCAGTTAAACATATCCTCAAATACCCTAACTTGAAGAATCAGGAACAGATCAATGTTTATGCAAATGATTCAGTTTGGATTTTTACACAGTTTAGGAGAGAAACTACACAACAGAAATGAAATTTTGTTCTGTTCATAGAAATACGATAAATGGACCTGAAATATTTTTTTCTAACTCCTGCTGCTAAAGAATGCAAATCTGAGTAAAGTTGCGCACCTTGATGAAACATATGGCTCGACTTTCTTTGTATATAGCTTGAATAACAAATTAGGCCACCAATCTAAATGGAGATTTATATGCCACTTTGTTTGTTGAACTCTAAAATGAGGTCTTCAAGTTCATCAACAATAGCATTGTAGCAGAAAAGGTATTGATCCTAAAGAACAGGGAGTAGCATACATCGTCAGCAGAGGAAGAAAGATAAAAATAAATAAATAATTACAGGGAGAGTACATTAATGCCATCAAAATCTCCTCATTGTTACAACATTTACCCCAGCAATACAACTGTAAGTGAATCCCGAACATATGTTTGATTGGAAACCATCATGGAAATCAGAAAGAAACAACTTTTGCAATTTTCTCCCCTTGACAAAATATTCCCTGGGGGCCTGTTTGTATCTTAGGAAACTGGGGTAACAATTGCCAATGCTGAGAATATGTACAACAATTGTGTTTGTTGGAAAAATATTTCTTGGGAAAATGAAAAATTAAAACTCCTTCCTAAAATCCCAAGGAAAAATTTATTCTCATTTAAAAGAATTAATGAACCACACACACCAGATCCTTTACAGGAGTTTTTTAACTTCATGAAAATCTTTAAGTTCTTGTATTGCTAGGCTCACGATGTATCAACTCTTCTAAAATATTTCTCTGTATATTTGATAGTATCAATGAAGTCCTTTTATGTACCCCATAAAGAATTATAACCTCGTAAACTTCCTAATATTGATGTTCTCATTCCCTACAGTGACAATTTATCTGGGGACAAAAGCGTATCCAATAGTTCTTGATCTTTCTTTCTTAATTTCTCTTCTTCTTAAGATTTCCAATCCTTGAGAGTTACAAATTCCTGAGAGTTTTACTACTAGGCTATGTTTGGATCATGGATTTGGATAGAGATTTGGAAAGGAAAAAAAAATGTGAATGAAATATAAGTTAATTTTTTTCTCCATTGCTCTCGCCTATTCCTTTACCTTTCTAAATCCACACCCAAATTTATGATCCTAACACAACCTTAGGGAATGAGCAAACCCTTGAAAGGTACGCATAGCCGGTAAGTACCCGGTACTCGTACAGCATCATTTTTGGAGTGCCCATACTTCATAGAACATTGAGAAGCAAGTAGCCTTGATTAATAAGCTTTTCATTTATGATTTGAGCAAAGACACGCTAGCCTACATATCAAGGAAAGCTGCAGCACTAGATAGAGCAGAATATGTGGGCCCCCCATAAAGATAGCTTTTGACATTTCATATTGCAGCATTTCCCTAAAGTTTTTGGGAAGGCTAGTTGACAATACCATCGCTCATTACTTCTATTCTGTTCACATTGTTATGATAGGAAAATAAAATGTGCAGTTATCAAGCTGTTAAAAAGCCCACAGTAGAACAAGGATTGAAATACGGAGCAACAAACAAAGAAGGAAATTTACCAATGTTTGAACCATTCCAATTCGCTGTGACCTAAACATGGTTATGGTATTAACGAGGTCTAAAGCAGTCATATCCCCAACTAGGACTCTTTGGATTGTATTGTGAATTGTGCAATAAGTTCCGGTTCTCCCAATACCTGCACTGAATAAGAGAAGAAAATGTCTCAGGAATATACGTATAAATTGCTTCCTGAATATTGCTGGAGAATATTTGATAAACAAGGCTACATGAGCTAACCTGCAATGAACAACTATTGATCCTAGAGTGGGTGATACACTGTAAGTTCTTTTTAATATTTCACGGACAGCAAGGGAGTCCTTGGGAACTCCATGATCAGGCCATTCAGGATATTGAATATGCAAAACAGACAGTGGTGGCTCTTCTGACTGCAACACAGATAAACAGTAAGGAAAACACAAACAGTTGTCCAATCCTTTCCCTTTACTTCTTTACATGTACAGAACTGACATTCTAAAAAAGTCATAATGGGAAAAGGAACAAGTACACCATATATATATTGCACTTTACAATTCACAAGTAGTTTTTCTTTATAACTAGGACAGTCCTGAGTGGGATTCCAGTCTAATTTTGGGTCTCTTTTCAAGATCCCAGTTAGGATTGAAAAGAAAATTGAAAATCGGCGAGGGATTTCCTGTGGGAAGGAAAGGATGAGGGTAGAAAGGATCATTTGATTAGATGGGGGAATTGTTTCAACTCCCAAAAAGAAAGGGAGTCTTGCTATTGGGAATATTGTGGCTAGGAACATTGGGAATATTTTCCTCTTCGTTTTACAATCCATTGTTAAGAGCAAATACAGGGTTCATGTTAATGGTAGAGATCCTCAAGTTGCCATGTCCATGTCTCCATTTTTTTGAAATCGTCGTGCCCCGTATCTGTGTCCGCATATGTATCTGTGTCCGTGCTTCTTAGTATATACATATATATGTACATACTTATGTTTGTAAAACGAAGAGGAAAATATAATTTGTATTGTGCAATTGCCAACATCTAATATATCAGGGCATAATCCATGGTGTTATCAGATCTCATATTTGGCAGGTGGTGGCATCTTATGCCTCTTCAGGCAGGAAATTGATCAATGGACAATAGGAAAATGAAGAAGTGATGCTTTCTTCAGCCATAGTTGAAACATTTTTTGCTCATAGCAAGTTGGCCCATCTCATGTGCAATCAAAACACTTTGTCTGCCAGTATAGCTCCAGAGTTACATATATAAAATGTTTTTGGTAACTGCTACTTAAAGTACCAAAGTAAGTAGAACAGTTAGGCATTTTTTTTTTGTTTTCATTTTGAAGAAACAAACTGTATTTGGTTATCTACTCCATGGTTAGCCACATTTCTTTTCAAAATTAGGAAGTTAGAGCTCTCATAAATGATATTTTGGATTTCTGCAGCACATCACTTAGAAAATGTTAACTTACATCTTTGTAATTCACCTCCAAATGGCGCAACACTATTGCAGTGTCGGTTGTTTTTATCCATTTAGTGGCAATACAGATATTACCAAATTCTCTAGGGCCATCCTCTGCCTGAAAATAGTCTCCACATTTCACCATCTGCACAAAAATTTCAATATAAGAAGATTCCAATCAAAATCAAAAGAATATCTTACAGTTCAAAGAGAGAACTAAATAAAATAAAAGAGGAAACTTAAAGAAAATAGCATAAATATATCTCTATATGGTTCCTGTGCACAATTAAATAGTACAGAAATCACCAATGGGAGAAGTTGTTTTACTTTTCTTTTTTTGACTAGTAGAAGTAGTTTTAATTGTACAAAAAGAATTATAAGCATGAGGACGTATTCAGCACACATTCATTGATGAGTAGATAAAGTTTACAAGCATGAAACTAAAGAACCATGTCAAAGGAATTTATTAGAAAGGTTACAAAATTCGATAATACATAAACAGAGATGTGATTTTGCTAGAGAAGGTTTCATTATTTCCACATTTTCCACATGTTACTTCCCACTGGACAAGCATTGAACCACTGAAGAAACAACAACATTATTCAGGCAATACATTGCATAAGATCTTTTATTTTTTATAGTAAATTTTTATTGAAATGAATGCCAAATATGGAATGCAAAAGTAAAGCACTTTGCCAGGACAAAACAAGTATATGCCTTCGAAACAATACAAATCAAGTCCTATACAAGCAGAGACAAAGAAGATATCTACACCCCTGCCTTTATTCAGAAGTTTCTATAAAATCCAAAAATTGATCTAAATAGGGGCTCACCATCTCCGACATACATTAGACATATAATAGATAGGTTCCTCAATCCCTTCAAAAGACCTCTAATTCCTGTCTCCCCAAATAATCCGCATAACACATAAGGAAGCCAAAATCCAAGCCTTCTTTTTCCTTTTGCCTACAATAGCCATCTTCCAACAAAGAAGGTCTCCAACACTAAATGGGAAACCCACTCCACACCAAATAAAGCAAGTGTATAGCCCACACATCTCTAGCAACACCACAGTGAATAAGGAGATGGTTAATTGATTCTCCTTTTTTTTTTTCTCTCTCTCTTCTTTTTTTTTTTTTTTTTTTTTTCTTTTTTGATGGGAAACAAAGGACATTTTATTAATTCCTTTCCACAGGCACCACCATAAGAAAAAGAAACCTCCCTCCTAGAAGTCCGATACCCCCATGAACTACCATATTTATGTTATTCATAGCATACATACGTTTTTCTTAGTACAACAATAACAAACTAGGAACTGATACCAAAGAATGATATTCCATGACTCTGGAAGTTATCAATATTACCTGAAACTGTATACAGTTGAGTACCTTGAAATTTATCAATATTACCTGGAACTGTATACAGTTGAGTACCTTGAAATTGTCGACCAACCGAGTGAGCATCAATATAACAGGGCAACGATTCTGGATTATCATCTCCCAGAAGTCTTCAAAGGTATGAGGTAATGGACCTTGTGTGGCTATGAACCGAGATATGCTTTCAGATGAAGATGTCTACAATTGAAAGAGGCATTCTCAAAGGTCAAAAAAAGAATTCACTAAGTTCTCTACTAAGTGTATACCAGAGTGACATATACACATGATAAAGGTGACCAATAAAAGTTTCTACCTCAATGAAGCTTGCATTGATATAACCCCTTGCTGATGGTCTGTAATCCTTGCATGGATTAAGTACAACCCTGTTTTTGTCAACTGATAACAACAAATTTCAATAAAGTTACGTTACATCTCATGAATAATTTAGTTTCCCATATCAAAGAAGCCAACTGGATTACATACAGGGTAAGACATCTCCATAACGGTTTTTGCTACAATTGACACTATCAAGAGCCACAGAGCATCTACTCTTCATCTCTGATGGGCTCATCCTGTTGGCCTGTAATCAAACATAATATGAATTACTAGTTAGTATAGTAATCGCAAAAACATAAAAGTTCACAAGAGAATAGCTGCTGCCCAAAAATAATCCTACAACAAATTTCAAAAATCCTACAACATGCAACTATTGAAAATCAGGTCCTTACTAGCCTTTTACATTTGGAAATTCTAAAAGCCTTCATCTCACTCTGATACCCTAATCCTAGAACCTTTCTACAACTAAAACCCATTACAATTCCTATTGTAGGCAGAAATACTGTGTGTTTGGATCAAGGATTCGAGTAGGGAAAAGTAAAAAATAAAATAAAATAAAATTCTCTAAAAAAATTCAGCACTTATGCCTCACTTTTTCCAAAACCCTAACTTCTTTCCAAAAGAATTTAGCACTTTTCACTAACTTTTTCCTTTCACTGTACAAACCCCTACTTGAACAATCCAAACACAGCCTAAGTTTCCTAAAACTGTCCTAGATTCTCTAGTCAAGGTGAAGAGCACTCCCTCCACATTTTTCACCATCAGTTTGGTTAGGGCATCTTCAATCCTCGACTCAAACCGATATAAAAAATTTGGATAAAAATCACTCAAAACACCCTCCACACCTTGACCCAAACTCATACCAAATTGAGTTTAACTCAATTTTTTACCCAAATCAAGGGAGACTCGAATGTTTACTCAAAATTTTCAAAAGTCCATTGATGTGGTTCGTATCAAATAAAACTTTAACTCAAATTTGATTAAAATTTCGAGTAAGAGCTAGAGATGGCCTTGCAGCCTAGTTCTAGGTTCCAATAATTCATTTCTCAACAAGTACTACTGGAAGCTCAACAGTGTTCAACTCCCTGGCATTTTTCAACTTTCAAACACATCACTCTTTTTCAAAACAAAAACAAAAAAAAATGAAACTTCAATCAGATGGAGAAAAACGTGTATATATATATATTCCGTTATTAACCTAATTCTTGCACACGCACATACATATTAAATATACATCGACATGAGCAAATTACACAAGTATATGAAAATTATAGTGGACTTGGTGGAGACCTGTAAGATGAAGAACTCGTTGCGGATCTGTTGAGGCATCTGGAGCTTTTCCTGGAAAGCTTTGAGAGCGTCGGTGCAATGGCGGAGTTGATCGGAGGAGATGATGAGTGGCGGCGGAAAATCGGGAGAGAAAGTGGAGGGTTTAGGGTTGGGAGAAGGGGATAGCGTAGGAGAGGCACCGGAGAGGGGTTTTCCGGCGGAAGTGGCGGCCATCAGCGATCTCTTGTGGCTGCGAACCCGCCTGGAAATGGTGTTCCCCGTGGCGTCAAATTCGATGTCGTTTTAAAGCATGCAATCTATCTCTCTCTCTCTCTCTCTCTCAACAATGAATCATTGGGCTCTGTCCCACTGATGAAATCTTTTACATTGGCGGACAACTCAAAACGGGTCGGGTTTTGTTATCATTTTTCGAGAATAAGTTAAAAAGTAAAATTATATAGGTATAAGAGCATCTCCAACGCTTAACTTCTTTTTTCATCAAATTTGATGAAAAAAATGACGATTTTTCAATTTGATACGAGGCGCTCCAACGGTGAGCATCAAAGCAGAATTAGGGAAGTGGTCGACCGGGTGGTCGACCGGCCGGTTGACCAACCGGTCGACCGGTTTGGGCAAAAATTTTTTTTTTTTACCTGTTTGAACCTTTTTTGACCGGTTTGAACTTAGTTATTTCAAAGGGAACCGGTTGGTCAACCTGCCGGGCAACCGGTTGGTTGATCGGTGTACCACTTTCAACGGTCAGTAACAGTGATTTGGTAAAATCTGTGTCTTAGTCTCAGTTTGATGTTTTGTTTGCTGAATTCTCATTTTGATATGACTTTGGTGCAACGGTTGGAACTTGAAAAAGTAAATTTTTCATCAAAATTTGAATTTGATACTGGGTTTGGTTCACCGTTGGAGATGGTCTAACTATTAAAAGTTTTAAAAAAATTAACGTTTTTGTACAACCAATAATAAATGGTAAATAAATTTTTTATTTCTTGACCAAAAAAATAAAAAAATAAAAGTATAAGAATATTTAAAATTATTTAAAAAAATAATTACTTATAATTTCTCAATTTTTTTAATATAAAATTTTCATTCTACTCACATTCATAAAAGATAGTATATATTTTTTATTTTATTTTCTTTATACCCTTTTTCACTTTCTAACTGTTAATGATTAAAGTGACTTGTGTTTGGTTAGAAAATATGAGAAGAGGTTTAGAAAAAATAAAATAAAATAAAAATAAAATATATTTATATTTTATTTAATTATATTTTATTTATATATTATTTATTTATTTATTTTTCAAATCTTTCCTTAAAATTCCAGCCAAACACAACTCAAAAGTGAGGGGAGCCCCACTCCTTCACGTGGCTCTCCAACTGGATTCGTCACAGAAATTCTATGATTGCATTTGCCAATGTCGGATCATCGGTTGGTTTTCGTTCTTATCTAAATCTAAGGTAAATTATAAATATATTTTTTAAGATTTGTATAAAGTTTTTATAATTTATAAAATTATAAATATTTTTTATTAATATTTTTTATTTAATAAAATTAATTAAAAAAATAAAATTTATAATTATTCTCTTATATAATAATAAAATTATTTAAATTATTAATTAAAACATATTTTTAATATCGTTAAAAATTATTAATTAATTTAATAATTTATTAATAAAAAAAGTGATTTGTTATGAAATTAAAAATTTCGTTAAAAATTATTAATTAATTTAATAATTTATTAATAAAAAAAGTGATTTGTTATGAAATTAAAAATTTCAAGGGATTACTAAAATGATATGTTCTCAGATGAGGCCTACGAGCATATTTAATCCTTCATCAAAATTTTCATTAAAATAGAATAAAAATTTGATATATATGATATTCTTTAATGATTTCATTAAATTTAGGTTGTTATCTGATCTAGAAACAAATTTTATCAATTTTATTTCAAACTCAGTTGTTCGTAAGACGTTCGGCCTCTCCTTTTATTTTATATCACTTTGATGAAAAACCTTAGAGTTCCTTCTTAAAACTTTTTCATCAAATTTAAATTTTATGATAGATTTGAGTAAATGTTGGAGATGACCTAATAAGTTAAAAAAGATTATAATACACACCCTTTTGTACCATATACACTTTATAATTAAAAAATTATATATATATATATATATATAACTCTATACTTTCTAAGTCATAATTAAAAAATAAAAAATAAAAAAGTCATAACCAAACACAATATGAGGTATAACCAAGTATCTCAAAATAATGTCATAACTAAATAAGAAAATTGATCATAACTAAAGAAGAAAATGACATAACTAAAGATGCATATAGAAATGAATGTATATTGTAAAATTTTCCTAATAGGTTAGATGAGCATTGTTATTTAAGACCAAAATTTGGACTTGACTTTCAAATTCAATGATATGATAATCAATTAAATATTAAAGGTATCACTATTTCATATTTTTTCTAATTATTAACTAATCATATTATTTATATATTCTTAAATTTATTGGGTTTATATATTATTTTTCTAAATTAGATTATTACTAAGGAAAATACTAACAACGATTAGTGTTAAAAGAAAATTTAAAAACGTATTCAAATATGTAGAAGTATTTTAAACACATGAAAAATATATTAAAAATAAGAATATTTATTCACTTCATCTTTTTTATTAGCAATCCTTTAATTGTTATCAGTATTGTTTGGCCATGTGTTGTTTATCGGTGTGGGAGAGGAGATTAGATCATCTTTTTTATTAGCAATCCTTTAATTGTTATCAGTATTGTTTGGCCATGTGTTGTTTATCGGTGTGGGAGAGGAGATTAGAGTGCTATAACTATAGATCTTACTCACAGATTGATTGGTGATGATTTGGGAAGGGAAAGTAATAGTCCAAGGGATTTAATAATCTTACTCGGTAAGGTGATTAGTTTGACTGAATTTTAGATGGGAATGAGAAAATAATGAGGGAATTGAATTTATTTCATATAAAAAATTTATTTTTTTACCAAGTGCACCGGTTTGTTTTAATATTTGTTTTAGTTTTTTTTAATATATAAATTATTTTTTATTTATTTTATGTAAAAATAATTAACAATCCCATAATTAATCATCTCACACATTATCATCATAACAAGTACACTTTTACTTAATCCTCTCACTAATAATTCTCACATTAATAATCTTTTCACTAACCATTCTCTCACTAATAATCTCATCTAACCTATTTCACCAAAGAAACGTGGCCTTAGTCTTCATTTGGTAAACATTTTAGTAGGGGTGGGCAACGGTTTATCCGAACCGCTCAAACCGCCCAACCCGCATATAAATGGGCGGTTTCGCAAACATAATGCGGGCGGATGCGGTTTGAAATATGACAAATTTACGGGTTGCGAGTGGGTCGCGGGTTAAACCTGCAACCCGCTAAAACCGCCCACACTTCAATTATTATTATTATTATTATTTTTTTTTATATACCAACTTTGTAACTTTAAGAGGAGCACCATTATGTTCTCTATGACACTAGGATCCTTATTTTTAAGTATTTCTCAACTTTCTTAAAGTCGAAGAATTATCAAGTCCTAAACTTGGTTTCTTATATGATTTTTATTGATGACTCATCCACTTTTTTCCTAATAAAATTTTTCTTATGGTGGTCGATGAAGCTTCTAGTTTGATTATTTGCGGTTTGAAATATGATAAATTTACGGGTTGCGAGTGGGTCGCGGGTTAAACCTGCAACCCGCTAAAACCGCTCACACTTCAATTATTATTATTATTATTATTTTTTATATACCAACTTTGTAACTTTAAGAGGAACACCATTATGTTCTCTATCACATTAGGATCCTTATTTTTAAGTATTTCTCAACTTTCTTAATGTCGTAAAATTATCAAGTCCTAAACTTGGTTTCTTATATGATTTTCATTGATGACTCATTCACTTTTTTCCTAATAAAATTTTCCTTATGGTGGTTGATGAAGCTTCTAGTTTGATTATTGGTTACTGAACTGACAATTCTAATTGAGTACAACCTTTAATGCATTGATATACATTTTTTTCATGGCAAAAATGTTAGTGATATTTAATTTTTATTTGTAAACTCATTAGAAAATTGTTGTCAAATGATCACAAATATATAAAATGAATCTAATGCCTAAATTCGATGGGGAAAAAAAAAACTTAAAAATTAATTTTTAAAGAAAAAAGTGTAAACTGTAAACCGCCCGCAACCGCCCGCACATCTACAAACCCTATCCGCACAAACCGCAAACCGCACTACGGGCGGTTGCGAGTTGACTTTTTTCCCAAACCGCATAGATGCGGGCGAGTCAAAATCGAACCGCAAACAGCACAAAATCGATCCGCGAATACCCCTACATTTTAGGACTAAAAAATCACAAAAAGACAAAATAGACTATTAAGCTTCGTTTGGAAAGTTGGTTTAGAGGTTTTTTTTAGCTAAAATAGTCACAAAAAATAAAATAGACTTTTTATCCCGATAAGACAAAATATCACATCCAACGCATAATCATTACATTCTTTTTCTCACAAAAAATTCAAAAAAGCCAAAAATCCTTCCCAAACTAGACTTTTTAGTCATAGGCTAAAATATCCAAAAAAATCAAAAAGCTAAAAAGCCAACCCACTTTCTAAACGGAGCTTATACAAGTCAATAAACAAAATATCACATTCAAACCATAATCATTACACTTTTTCTCTCACAAAAATCAAAAAAATCTCAAAACAAAAAGTAAATGCGGCTAAAAAAGCGCCAAAATAAAAAAATTGGCTACCGTAACTAATACCAAACGAAGCTTAAGTTTTCAGGAGGGGCTCCATACACTTCAAGTCCTTGTCCAAAATTATTATATATTGAAAGAGTATCACGTAACACTGTTAAATAGTACTTTTCACATGTCTCCATTATTTCATCGTTTTCTTTATTTTTAATAAAGAGTTGTTTTGAAAAGTAAGTTAACAATTGATTTTTTTATTTATTTTTATTTTATTCAAAAAACGTATAAAAAAATAATATGACTCAAAAAAAAATTAAAAAATTAAAAGAGCCAAAAAAATTAAAAGTTGCCAAAATGGGCACACAACAAGCATCTTGATCGAATTGTATGTTCATGGAGATATATTGATACTAGCAATTGAAGATCGAAAAAAATAAAAATTAAAATTGAGCTTCCTTTGACAATTTTTAATTATAATTGAAAAATTAGAAAATCACTATATATTATCACGTAACACAGTTAAATGGTGTTTTTCACATGTCTCTATTATTTCATCTGATTTCTTTATTTTTAATAAAAAGTTATTTTGAAAAGCAGGTTAAAA